AACGGAACATTTCAAAATGATTTGCACAAATGTTCTGGGTACATTGAAATGCACTTCTTTGATTCAAAAGTTATAATGACGAAAACGCGCTGCTTAATTAGCTATTGTTGTTAGCTTTGACGGTTGAGTTTACCAGGTGTACCTGCAGCAAATTTGACCAATTTGATTGCCTGAAATACGCATCTTTGTGCCTCTCTTCTAGAAAGCAAATTGTGTTCGTAAACAGAGACAAATAATGCACTGCTTAAAAGTGTCTAAGGTGTCTTCATTGCAGCAATATTAACATAAAAAAGAGTTGATCAACCAACGATTTCTAAAACATCGATTTGTTCTAATACTAAGGCACGCTGGTAATTCGAATTCAGTTATCATTTTCCACCAAAAGAATTTCAGGGTCTTTGAAACAAGAGTTTCTTTTTAATTTAAGAAACCTTTTAAAAACCGAATTCTTTTGTTTGCACTTTGCGTATTCGCAAAACAGCCTCGACTAATTTGATAACCATTTTCCAAAGTTTCCCTAAGCATTTTCTGGCAAGTGCAGATAAACTTGTTAAGTTGAAGAAACCTGGTCGACATTTTACGTAATTGCTTTAAGAAGGCTCGAAATGCATTCTGTTGTATGTGCATCTGATTCATTTATTGATAATTGGAATATGAATAGGGCAATTTTAAATACTAAAATGGAATGACTTCATTTTTTCACCAATCAGACATAAGGTATCACAGCAATGTAGAGCAATATACAACAAAGGTTTATTGGTCTACAAAGGAGAGTCAATGGCAAAGTAACAATGGGGACCAGTTATATTGAAACACAAAGTAGCGTATTTTGTATGGCATGTAATTTAGGACCATGCCACAGACTATAATCTCTGTGATTCGCAATATCGTCTACATGGTCATAGTGCCTAACGCCTTCCTATGATGATTTAACTATTTATACAACTCAGACATACTCGATTTAACATACTACATTTAGATACAAGCAACTTTGTAGTCAGGATCATTACAGCTACTTAAAATCAACTGAATATGTTTTTATTTGTGTAGTAACCAACTAAGAAATACAAAAGCTGAATTTCCTAAAATTTTAAAGAGTAAAATCAAGCAGTTTATGCGTGAGACCAGCCACGCCTTAATTCAACAGCGAGAACAGTTAATGTCACTTAATATGCTCCTGTGTCCTCACTATTAATCAGCTTAAGTCTTGGCGTAGTACACAATGCGTTTGTTTTATTGACTACTGTGAAAAAAACGATTCGGTTTGTCCTGTTTTGAAGCGTATTCTAGATGCTCTTATTGCGAAACAAAACTCATTTTGAGTGAATTAGTCTCGCAGCAATCTCCTTTGTATTATTTCATGAATAGTTATTCACAAACTAACTTATTACATCACCAACGATGCAGTCAGATCTTCCTGAACATAGGCAATGGTTCAGATTTAAAATTAAATGCATTACCAATTGCTGTTTAAAGGACACAGTAAGACCTACATAAATATATTAATTAATGGTTTTAGATTCATTCTTACTTACAACTCTTTTAACCTTATCTAACATGACTTCGCAAAAATGAAATATTCTAGTTTCTGTCTGTAAAAAAACGCGCGCTGACATTGACCTAAGTAGACATCCTAAAGTTATGCTGACTCCGACTGCAGAAGTGCGAATTAAATGTTTGATTGTAAGCAGACATTCATGTTCGTGCCAAAATCCATTATTGTAAAAAAATATGTACCATCTGCTATAATGAGCTCAGTAATTACCTAGAAAGTTAGAAATGTAAGCTAAGAATCTGATGACATCACTTAAATATGTAGCAACAGGTGGAACGTGAAAACTGAATTGTATGCGCGACTGTGATACTGAATCCTATTGCTACAATGCAAAAGCAGAACTCAAAGAACTATTTTTATATACTACACCATGTGTCCTATTTTCTAGTAAAGTAGAATCTCAAATTTACGAGAAAATATTGATAAATGTCTTTAAAATAATGCATCGTTAATTAACTGAAATATGGTTGACTACTTCATTAACAATTATTATAGTACGTCTGTAAGGAGAGCATAGCACACGAGATTATATGCAAACAGATCCAGTTGTGATTGCCAACTTGTCGGGTGCTAGTGTCATTGCACACCGCACACTAACTGTCCTAATTAGCAGATAGTTCGATGAACCCAAATGCCTACACCTCAATTACTAATTGTATGTTCAACAATATTAACAAAATGTCAAATAACTACTTTAATGTCTAGGGCATTTTCTATAATCCAAATCCACATTAGCCGCTGACTGTCAGAGATTGACCTTGTCAACATTCGTAAAGAATTTTAAGCAGGAATGTTTAATTAAATCTATTTGGAAAAACGGTCATCCTATTTGCAGTATATTTTCTGTAAAAACAATTTCTACTTTAAACGCAATTATTAAACAGACGACTATGTTTTACACCCCGATGATTTCATTTTCAAGTCCCTATTTTCCAGGGCCAGGATTTCTGGACAAATTTTGACTATTAAGAAACTCGAAACAGTAAACCTGCATTCCACTTTTAAGTATCTTTACAAATTTACACTTAAACCTAAAAACAAAGACATGGTTACAGAAGTTGGCTATTTCTAATTTATGCGCCTAATCAATGCAAACATTTCAAAAAAATCTTTAACAACAAAAACAGTAAATGCAAAATTCTTAAATTAAAATTTCTATGTGCTTGTTTACGCTTGCATGGTTTGTAGAAAGTTCGTATAAAAAATCTGTTTCAGCATATTTGAGCATTTAAATTATCAACATTTCCCTATTCAAATCTCTTGCTTGGGGAAAGTGTTGGAAGCACAGGAAATCGCATCCTCAATGACCTTTCATTTAAGAAACATCTGAAAAAGAAAATATTATTGGTGAAAGCAGAGGTGTAATGACTGGTAGGTTTTGTATAGCTAAAATTGTTTTCCTGTGTCTTTTTCGTTTGATGGCCAGGACATTTTTCTGATCGCAACATTAATCTTGTTTCAAAGAATGTTCAAATGTATAATGTCTGAAGTTGAAGCTATCACAGTTTTTTACATGTGATGCTAAAGTATATAAGCAATCAATCAATTTAATTATTTCCTTGACAAGTTGAATATTTCCATGCCAACTGTTCTATCGATCTAGACGGTCCTCTTTAACCAAAATCAGTAGCTTCTAGTGCACTTCAGCTATTGGATTTTTTTAATTTGAGTTTATGTGACAATGATTAATGTCTTTTTCATGACATAATATTGCTAAAAATTCAGTCCACTGGCAAAGTTTGGTAAGTGGTAATGACGCAGTGTGAAATCATTCCTAAGGATCAAAAAGTACAACTGCTTGACCTTTTAATGATTCCTTGTGATTAGAAGTCGTTATCAAAAGGCACAAGCATGAGATTAATCAGGCGAACAAGCTAAGTAACGAGGATGATATTTGCAGCGGAGTAATAAGAAAACAGTTATACCTGACTTGGTGGGCTACCTGTGCAAAGTTGCTGCAATCAATGTGTCATAATGCAGGTTTAGGCATTTATTAGTAACCACGCAATGTAATATGCAGCATTTCTCAGAAACTAGATGCATTTTGGTCTTGGAAAGCAAACTTACCTCTAGTGGGTCTGAAAAATTGAGCCCGACGTATAAATTAAAATAAGCTTACTTGCGTTTACAAAAAAAATCAAATCAAAAATATCAAATCCCCCTTGTTTTTCAGTGCTTGATCAGTTAAGTATTCAATCTGGTACACATTCAGATGCAAAAACCAGAGATATATGACACCATTGTAGTAAAGATATAATATTGTACTTTATGTTTGAGACAGGTCATAAAAATCTGGCATTAATCAGACAAAAGTGAATGAGTTTAAAAGAATCTCATATGCCAAATGTATCCACCAAATGACTTGGAAATAGTAAGCCGACCTGCAAACTTAGAACGTTGCGATAAGGTCAAATGGGTCATTTCCACAATGAAGTCGTTTGCAGCACGTAAATACGATTACTTTAAAAGCATTTTTGAACTTTTTATTCTCTGAATTATTCTCTTATCATTGAGGAACTAATCTTGTACAACATTCAGATTGTTTTTTTTTCCTCAGTTATTCCTATATTTTTAACAGCAGATGTCACCATTTAACAAATTTTTTATATTTTACTACCAGGTACATTAAAATTACATTTAAAGCATTGTATCAAAAGTTGCGCATCCTTTTCCTTATAGTGATAATTTGCTCGTTTAGTAACAATTGAACTACTTAATTTGGATAATTTTCAAAAAGAAAACTCTACTTTCAAAAAATTGTGTTTTTAAGGCCACATTTGTCCTTTTTGTCAACAGACAGTTGTCGTTATATGCAATCAATAATGCTGAGAAGTTTTAGACTTTCAGAATACGATGCCACTTCAAAAATATCAATTATGCTAAATTCCATCAGTTTTACAAATATGTGGTGTGTATATTTTTCCAATACTCACATGATTCTATCGGTAAAAAATTCTCATATTAAATTTAAAAAAATCTTTTTTCCTATCATTACTAGCGATTTAAATAGCTCCAAATTTTTAAATAGAAAATATTACCTTTGATTATTTGTAACGCCCTAGCAACTTCACTGCTTATTGTATCAACTCTTCGCTTTTCAAAAGGCGAAAAACATGATAAGTAAAAAGGGCTTAGTTTAAACAAGTTAATATTTTTTTCTCATGGATGGTTATTTCATGCTTTATTTATATGAGTTGAAAACGCTGGCATCAATTCGATAAATTGCAGTATGAGAATAGGTTCTTCGGGTAATAATGGGAACGTCAAGAATGTACACTTTGGAAGTGCTCTTCATGGTTTTGTGGTCATACAGGCAAAGTCAAATAATGCATTTATTTAAGGTACCTGATATGAATGCAAACAGGTTCTCAGTTGTGACTTTTTTGGAAGCGGCCTGACTAAGTATCTGTAGAATACAATGAATTCTGTCGATTTCTAAAATCTCATGGGTGTCTATGTTGATGCCAGATTTTTCCCAAGTATGAATTAGCTGGATTTAATGTGATTCACAGCATCATACAGTGCTCATATTGAATTTAGACAAAAAGACTGGAGACTGGAACCCGAGAACCTTGAAGGTGAGTCTTCGAAACTGCTTATAAATGGCATCGTTTATAAAGAAGTGAAAGGAGTGTTTGTAAATCATTAATGCACTTCCTGTGAAGATTCGTATGTCTTGCAACCCCTCCCTGTCAGTACAAATTTAAAGCACACTAAAATTTTATGTGCAAATTTTTTACTAATAAGATGTAGTACATTCCACTTGTTTGGCATAGGTGCAACGTATAAGTTGCGCGGTCTTCTCAACCTTTTTTCTAGTCCAACTTGCTAACTCTTCTTCATCAAGTCGTGGAAAACAACCTTCTCCCAGTGAGCCAAGGCCACATAAGCGATGGCCATCCCCATGCCATTCCATTTCTGAGTTGGGAGGCCCTGAAGGAATTCCACAGCAACTTCTACCACCCGCGTAATGCCATGTAAGCGACTCACACTTTCTTGCGCCTTAAAGATGAGTTGATGGACAAGAAGTAACCGAATCTGTGTGTTGTTTCTACGACTGTCTCATGTAAACGCCTCTGCTAGATTTAGAGGCTTGTTTTGCGAAAGCCAACGCGGAGTTACCATTAGGTCTCCAGATAAATCCTCGTGTTTGGAATTCGAGAATTCAGTAGGCGGGTTACACAAGCCTAATGTTTTACCCGGGTGATAAGCCTTTTTTTTATTTTTGACCCCCTGTTTCTCCAACTTTTAGCATATATGCATATGGCAACCTTGACGTGGACAACTATTTTCAGCATCTAGATTCCGACTGTTTGGGGAAATTCACTGTCCAGGATCCCCCGCCAAAGGTTGTCTTTGAACCCAAGTGGACGGAGCCGGTACGCACTGGATGCACTTGCCATTTTTTCTCCTTACTTGCTACTTGCTAATTCTGCATTTCTCTGGATAAAGCAAATTATTTTTTCCGTTATTTTGTACCTTCTCTTTTCTGTTAAGGCTGATTAAACATCGCAGCTGAAGGAAAGTTTGGGTCTTGACCCTCCACGTATTTCTTTTCTTGAACATGTAAATGAGCAGTTAGCTTCACCGAAGGCCGACGTCTGAGGTCCAGTTGTTGTGTTATTATCAACCCGACAAATTGCTTAATCCCCCTTCATCTTGTCTTCCCTGAAGACGCGGTGTTTTGGAAATGTATGTAATCCTTTAGCCTGTGCCAAAGGCTACTTTGCGTCACACTGTGGACTGAAATGGCATTTTGGATTTGAAAAATGACAAGGACATGCCACTGTAGCGACACGCTTCCTCAAGTTTGGTTTTGTAGGTGTCAATGTCTCTGACAGCTTTGCGTGAAGGATCACCTCTTAAAACGGCGACATAAGTCTGAATGTCAGAATCTATTAATGTGAACCCGAAGAAACCTTCGATTAACGGGTCAGCTCAGGTGTAGCAGTAGTACTTGGTGCGACATTTGACATGGCAATTATAGTGCGGTAAACGAATCCGGGAAATTGGCACATCTCCTTTGATATGTAGGTCATGTGAAAGCGTTTTCACGTTAAATTGTAAGGGAAACACTATTGAAAAGTGTCGTCCCTTATGCTGGAGTTCCTTGAACTGCAGTTTCAGTGGACGATTAAAACCATGATTTGGTTTTACTACGCGCACTTAAACAGAGCTAGATTTGCCATATTCAATGAGGAACTGTTTCAACTCTTATTTGCCAAAAGAATTCCCGCATGTGTCTAGGCGATTTGATCTTTTGTGACGGCACATGAATCCAATTCTACCTATCTTACCAACTATAAAGTAGGCGTAAAAATAGAAACCTTCAGTCACGGTTCTCGAGTCGGCTACGAGGTCCTCAGCTCAGGGGAGCCGATCAGAATCGCTGAACCAAATTTTGATGCCACAATTAACTCAGACGCGTGTGCAGTTTTCTAAAGTGAGTTTTTTGCGGTGGCAAATTTAGAACCCTGGCAAAAAGTGGTTTCGCTTTTAGTTAACTTCAATCCTTTTTTCCATATTGTCGACTTTGCATTTAATTTACCACTGACTCAGACTGCGCGCGACATTTTTGCAGTATAACTGGCACTGGTTGCAAAAGTGAACATTTTCAACATGTTTCATTTGTGTATTTCGATCAGGATTTAAAAACTTATGCCCACAAACAGCTGTGTAATTTTCTTGGTTAAATTGCCCCAAGATGATGATGATGAAAAGACCAAATAATGCGTTACAAAGCTTGTTGCTTGGGTTTCAATAAATTGAAATGACGCCACCTGGTACACCTTTTCAGTGCACATATCAAGCATTTCTAAACACGAGAAAATCCTCCCTTTCTGTTGAAAGAAAGGTGTTGTTGAGAAAGATGTCGTCTACAACAACGGCAATTGAAATTTTCTATGATTTGTCGAATTACATTTAGGAAATGTCACGTTTTCGGTTTGGTGGGAATTTGAGCCCGTCATGCATTTTTAACTACTTCTAGTAACCAAGTAACCACTATAACTATCATTGCTGTCCTCTCTTCCAGCGATCCATCTGCAGATGCGACACTCAAGGTATTTGCAGATTCACTCGACTTCGCCCTAACGAATGACTTCACTGAACAGGAGTTACTGGAGGCCAAGCTGTCGGTGTTCAAGGAGGTGGGCAATCTTTGCCGTTGAAGCCATCTTAGAATGTCTGCGGCCAGTGT